TGGGTTTATGTGAATTAAAACTGTTATTTTGTGTATTTTCTCTTGTGCCATACATTTCATTCTACATAAAGAACTGAAGGAGATTTCTGTGCTACGCTAAATATCAGAATCCCAAAATAAGCTTAAGTGCTTGTTTATTATAAGAAAAACTGTCTAAAATGAACACAATGCTTTCACAATATAAGTCTTCTGAGTAGCCATTTATTTGTTTACTTATTACTAAGAAACAGCCTGCATGGTCAGCAGAGAAGCAGCCAAAATAATGTCTGCTGCACTCAGAAGGTAAGGGGGAACTCAGATAGGAGCAGATTTCTGTGCCAGAATCAGGCAACAGACTTCTATTAGAACTAGAAGTCCCTAGGTGACCTCCCACAACCAAACAGCGTGGGATAAAATCACACTGGGGAGTCCATCGGACATCCCAGCTGGAAGCACAGGCTGGAGAGAGAACTTCAGATGCAGAAAAACAAATGGAACTTTTGGTATTTGAGCTCTGTCCTGTTCTCAGCAAAGGAGTGGTCCAGCCCTTGAGTCCTTTTCCCACACCTTCCTCTCTTCAGGTACAGCTACAAAGCTCCAGATGGATGCAACAATGCATCTATCACATCTTCACTGACAAAATGTTTGGGCACTGGGTCTTAGCTGGATACAAAGAAATGCTTTTCCAACTTCCATTTTCTTTCTACTCAACTTACTGTCTCTTAAGAACATCTAAAATATGCACATTTAGGAAATTATTCTCAGACAAAAAAATTCTTCAAGGCAGGTGTCTTCTTTTTATTTATTTACACCACATGTTATAGACTGGAAATTTGTTTCTTACTAGAAAATTTGTGTGCTACAACCCTTACATAAAAACAGCAAGAAAGGGTTACACAAGAAATCTATTTTATATTCACCATTTATAAAATAAACCCAGGAAAACAGAGCTTCAAATTTCTGAGTGTCTAGTTAAATGATGGCTCAACCACATTATTTCACAATGTTAGTTGGAAAGGATGCAGAAGAGGATAAAGCCTCTGGTACCTGCAGCACACAGATGCAAAAAGGATATGGATGTTGCAGCAAACAGAGATCCTAGTAAGGCATCACTGTGCTACCTTAATAGGAACTTTAAAACACTCAGCCCTTTAGAGAAAGAGATATGTGATAAGCTGGCAAACATCTCCTTGACCAAAATGCTGATTAACAGCCCTGTCTTGTGAAGAGAAAAATGGATATCAAATTTTTGAGACTTGGATTCAGCATATTGTCTTTGTGGAAAGTAGAAAGCATATATTTTCCCAAATATATTAAATGTAATTCAGTAGAACATCACATGTTATCAATTAAACCCACAAGGTAATAGTACCAAAGACATATATCTTCACTTGCTCCAATAAAGGTGTGCTTTCTTGGACTATGTTATACAAATATTCACAATTAAGTAATTTTCTCCTTTTAAATAAGCTGGTAGAAATACAAAGCACAAATCTGTTTGGTCAGATGCTCCATGGTGTAAATAGAAACAATAGTCCGAATTAAACCAACAGAAACAGTAGTCCAAGCTAAACCAAAAAAAAGGTATAAATGTTGCCTTAAAAATAAGACTGGGGAAAAATATCAAATATTGAGTTTGAAACAAAGCATGCTTCTGTTAATATGCTGATTAGAGTGTTTGTAAAGATAAAATTTACCTACCCACAATGTCAGTTTTATTGTGCCATAATGTGTGTGCATGTGTGTGCTCCCTAAGTGTTTCTGGTTCTGTTCTGAAAACTTCTTAAAATAAAAATCCTTTTGTTCATCTTCAAATAAACTTTATTTTATTCTGAAATACAATTGTATATTTTTTTCCCATGCTTTCTACACAGGTTTTTCACTACAGAGCTCAAGACACAGAAGCTTCATGGGCTTTAACACCCCTCATTTCAGGTTTTATTTTTCTCACTCTGTCAGTGTTTTCACATTGTAGCCACAATAAAATGTTTATACAGAAACTGAACTGCTAGTAACAAGATGCATCTAATTGCTGATGTACAAGCAAAATTGGGTTTAAATGCTGTGTTATTAAATGACATTTATTTTGCCATTTATATCTTTAAATAACTATTGCAGTTTGCTACTGGACAAACCTACTTGAGAAGAACAATTAAATAAATTAAACCACGTTAAAACCACATTCTTGGAAAAAAGGTAACCTTTAGTTAGGACAATTACTCTGTGGGCATAAAACAAAAGCACAAATGTCACATTTTCCATGAAATTTACTTTTGTATGAATCATCAATCCTGTTTTCCCCTGAACAAAACTAGCCAAATATGACCAAAAAATCCCAAAGTTGCCTGAACTGGATGATCCAAGTAATTACATGTTACAGCAGAATGCATCTATGACAAAACTTTCAAAAATTTGAGGAAAAAGTATTATAGCCCCTGGTTGAAATAGCTTTGGTATAGACCTATAGCAGCATTTAGCTGATCTTGCTGTATTCCCATATAAAAATATGCAGAGTTTCAAAGATCAATCTTCCCAGCACTGATCTGCACTCCTTCCCTTTGGAGTACAGATCAAACAAACACGCCATGAAAACATGCCCAAACATTAGAGCAGAACATGAAAAAGGTACACACTTCTCATTAGCATTTTTTAAATACTGCTTAGAATTTATTCTCAAAACCCTTATACAAGCAAACCTCTTGTCTTCCACGCCAACCCCTGAGGCTCCCACCTTCTCCTTTGTTTAGGGGCTATTTGTTCAGCCTCAGGCCCTGATCCTGAGTCCATCAGCTTCCAGGGTCAGCTCACATGCGTAAGTGTTTGCAGAAATCAAGTCTTTAAATGGAAAGGTACCTCAGGTCACAACCTGTCCTGTTTGTCCATCAGCCTCATTTATGGCATTGTACGTAGCCCTGTTACTGCATAATAATAATCTGTATCTGCCTAACTCATGTACAGATTATTTGTAAATTTGGAGAGGTACAACAGATGATTTAAGAAGATCTAAGCCTGTATTACTGTAGAAGCTGAACCTCAATGCTTTTCTCAGTATGTGAGGAAACACAGAGCTGAATCCATCAGTTGTACCTCCTACATTTCATTTTATTTTCAGTTTATGTGAACTTAAGGTTAGCATATGTTTCTGGATATATGGTGCTAAACACTAAAATGAGTCATTTAAGCAGAGAAGAACAGTCAGCACAGTGTTGGCTTCTCCAGATATTCATGTCACTGTGACTGAGGTCTGGCTTGCAGGGGACACCAGTGACAGGCCAGGCTGTGGCTCATCCTTTCATGCTGCCATCAGCTCAGCTTTGTTGCTCAGGCTGCTGAACCACGTCCCAGCTCTCATGGCCACAACGTGTGTGCTAAAAACCTTCCCTGCAACAGCTGCAGGCAGTGGTGGGATGAGAACAGCCCAAACCTCTGCTGGAATTTAGATACTTACTGGATTGACCTAAACACAAGGATGGTTTTTTTATAAAGTACGTTTTTATGTCACTTTTGTTTACTGCAGCTCTTTGTTGATGTCAGCCAAGAAGAGCAGGACTCAAACCAGCAGCCCAAAATATAGTTACTAAAGCCCTTTTTATGTTTGTAATACTACATGAACTGAACAATACTTACAACTTCTCACCCAATTAGCTTGGTACACAACAATTTCACTATGAAACTACTACTGAATTTATTCCTTGGAAATATTCCTTTTCCTTGGAATGTATGCTCTATATTGAAGTATAAGAAGCTACTCTTTGTATAGATTAATAAATTACTATTTCCATTTATAAAAAAGAAAAATGAAGAAAATAAACTGATTGTTTAAAAAATAAGCAGTAACAAAGCCAGAAAAAACATAAATTCCTCACTCTCAATTCAGTAATCACTTTATATTGCCTTCTCAAAACTATTTTTCAGTGGTAATACTTGGTTTTAAACTGTTTATCTTCTTTGATAATATTTTCTTTATATCTGAGAATGTTCATTTAAAAAAATGCTGACCTGTAAATGAAGGAAAGTGCAAATAGAATAGCAAAACCATATGTGAAAATGAACATTTGTAAAGAGGAAGGGTTAGTACAAATTGAACACATTTCCATATTGAGACGAGAGCCAGCCATATTTTTTCCCTGATGAATGCAGTTTTGTGAACATCTTTTTCCACAAATGATTGAATAAATATTTATTCATAAACTATATTTGTGACTTAAGAGAACAAGCTGCATAGATTGGTTTTATTTATACTACATCATAAGTGAGGTATTGCAATAATTTATATCATGTCAAGTATAAGGCCCATTAGATTTTCCTTATTATACTTGACTAAAGCTGAATACCATCCAAAACAGCAATCCTGAAAGCTTTCTATTTCTTTCATTAATAACTATCTTCCTCCCAATCCTCTTCTCTGGCTTTCCCTTTCTCAAAGCATTTCTGTTTAGGTGTAGTCCTATTTGATGTATTTGAACTTGGGCATATTCTGAAACATGTTCTGAGCTGTGACCTCAATGACCATGGTTTTGCTGAAACCATAAAGGCCAGATATCTCCATGGGATATAAAAATGTATTCCTAGTTCAGCAGATGCTGGTCATGTTAGTGTTTCCTCAATAACACCACACAGCATTTCCCCTAAAAGTCCTGTCTGTCTTGAGTTACAGCCCCAGTCTTTTTCTAGAAATTATTTTCATTGCAAAAATATGTTGCAGTGATGTTGTTAGCAAGTGCCAGCATTGATGTGTTAGTGTAAGCTGTTCTCTCAACATTGTTATTATTACAAAAAATAATAAAACTTGAAATAATAATATTTACTGTTAATTCAGTATTTGTAGCTCCTCTGAATAGCAGAAGCATAAGTTGGTAGCAAAAAAAACCTACCAAAAGTTTAAAAGTAGTGAGGTCAAATACTTGCTAAATGGGCACGCTAAAACTGCGATACAACAGTGACATTTCAAAATTGCTTCCATTCCATGTCAAAAGAATATTAGAAAGATGCACATAACAAGGAAAAGAATAAATACTTACAAATACACAAGAAAATCAGCCCCAGCTCCCAGAAATCACTGGTAAGTTGCTTTTGAATTCATGAAACTGACCTGAAAATAGAAAAGGAAAAAGAGTTGAAACAAATGAAAGCCCAGCACTGATGTTACTTTTTTTATTGTTATAAAATAGTTACAATTTTTAACCATGAACTGAATGAAACAGAACACAAGACTGTTGTCACACTTTCAGCCAAGTAATTTACACAGAATTTGTTTCCAGGAAGCCAATACCAAGAGAAACAATCATTTCATTGTTCTGCATCTCACACCATAGCAACCCAGTCCATTATGGCTTCTAAGAACTGTCATAAATGCAAGCATGGTTATCTTTTAATAAGGAAAATAGCTGTGAGGGGGTTTCTGGCTTGGAGATTTTTCTTTTTTTATGTTCTCAAGTGCTACAGAATATTTATTACTTTTTCTTTATTTAAGTAGATTGTTAACAGCATTTTGCAGCTTACCTAGTGTAAAGTTATTGTTTAGGTCATTTAATTGGAGCCCATCTAAGGCAAAACTTATACAAAGAAGAAAGACTAATGATGTTGTTCTCTTATAGTCTAGATTCCAGTTAGAAGCTTAGCCTAAGTACAATGCAGTCACTATAAGGCATGATTAAATCCAACATTCTTTTTCCTGCAAACCCCTCAGTTCTAGTTGGAAAGGTAACAGATGCAACTCAAACCCACAGAGCTCGCCTTATAAAATTCTTTAACTAGCACAATGACTCACTTTATGCCTCTAAATATCCATGGTTTCCTCTCTCCAGAACCCCCATGCATTAGGAGGTAGTTCAGTAGTTTATTTTTATTGTTTGGTCTACATACAGCACATTTTTAGTTCTTAGCAAAACAAAGAAACTTTGTTGCACAGCCCTTGTTTTCTTTCCAAAATGTGAGGATGGATATGGGTAACATTAAACTGAAAATAGTAATGGAGCCTGGGCAACTAGTTTAGGTCAAAACCTTTTTGTTCTCTGGGAGCTATCTGATTAATTTGCAGTTCATAAAACAGTGGGTGCAAGCTCAGTTTAAAAACATGTAACTATATTTAAAGATGAAATTGTCATTTTTCTTAGCCCCCAGTAATCTTTAAGAAACACCTTCCCACAACATTTCTGTATCCTAAAGTGCACCAGCCAGTACTGCAGAGTGCCTAGAGACAAGGAGAGAATACCAAACTTATCTTGATGCAGAATATCCTCCTTATTTCATACACCCACCCTGAAGTGCATATTATTCATTCCAGCCAGGCCCTCCCCCATCCTGAAAGTACACATTTAATTGTGTCTTCTCTCCTGTAATACCAACAGAGAGTCAACAAATCTCATTTGCTCTATCAATGCAGTGTTGTTATTATATATTTTAAAAGCAAGTCTGAATCTCATTATCAGCTGATTTATGCCATTAGTGTGCTTTGGAGCCACCAATTAAACAAGGACAGTGGTTCATAAGGTCAGAGTTAATTAATCTGAAAATATAAATACACTTTAATGCACACCACCTCATGTTGAGAATTTAGGAACAAAGCACCAAACCTTTATTCTGGGCATGCAATTAGGGGGAAAGGTTAAACATACAAAGTTTTAAACTCAGCTTTAGCATTCTGGTAATCCACCAGGGAAAAAGTTCAGTTTAGTAAAAAACCCTGCAGAACAATAGGTATGTGCAAAGGAGGGAGAAGGCAGAACAGGGCTGAGTGTACCCAGTGACCCTGAGCCAGTGAAGCCTTGTTGCTCAGATAACACCTCAGAACTGGGAATCATCTGCAGGCTTATCCATCATGGAGCTGGGCAGGATGAGGGGAAAGCCCAACCCTGAAGAACCTGGTCTGTTCAAAATGGACTCATCAGAGCTCAGGTGTCTGTTGCATTTAGCAGGCTGTACAAAACCAACTTTTCCTTCAAACACTTTCCCTTAGGAAACTTAATAAAGTAGTGCAGTCCAGGAAGGGTTCAGTAATACTCATGCTCTACAAACACAAGCAGAGTACCAGGAAAATGCTGAAAACAGGCTAGTCTACCAGAAACACAGTGACATTTCAGGTATGAGGTATCTAGAGTTTGCATGGAAGAAAATACCTTTTTCTTACTCCCTAGATTAATTTCACCTCGCACAGTTCCCTGCCCAAAAGAAAGAAAATATAGCTAACACACAGACACATATGACCAAATTAGACTGAGTGGTTGCTAACTACTTTTTCTTCTCTTACACCTGTATTCCTATATTCTATAACCATCATCACTTTTATTATTTTTAGATGTCCAAGTACTTTTTCTTAAACTGAAAATAAACCCTATTTTCTTAACCACGAAGAAAAGAAGAAAAGAAAATAAAGAAAACTTTCTGTCCATCAAATACTAACCTCATAACATTAATTAAAAAATTATTCTATTAGCTCAAACCATTTACATTTTCACTTAAGAAGTCTCAAGTTGAACTCCACATGACCACACAGGTGAAGATCTGTTGCATAAACATATACAAGGACAAAATTGTCTTAAAAGCATTCTGTAGTTTTAATTGGTACAAATACCACCAGAAATTTCACTCAGATATTTTGCAGTTGAAATGCTTTCAAAACATTCTAAATACCTGCAGTTTCTGCATGTTTAGAAGATTGCAACCAACCTTATTAAAGACTTACTCTCCCAATGCCACCATGAAAGGTGGGGAAAATAGCTATAAGAGGAACTTATACTCTGATTTCAGGCACCTTTGCTAAAAAGTTAGTAAAGGTAACCCCTTCTCATTGACCTAAATAATGCACAGTCATCCAATAATTTAACAGAATCCTTCAAAATAACTCAATTTTCAAACAGCTAGGCCTTGGCTTGTCTTGCAAGCACATGTTGACAGCAACAATGGATATAAATGGATTATATGACAGTAGGACCCTGTTTACCCTATGAGTTGTGAACAAAAGAAAATTCCATAAAAAGCCAAATATCAGTTATAAAATAGCTATCTCTTCACTGAGACAGCTCTTAATAATTCCCATAGGTCTCAGTCTCCAGAAAAAAAATTCATCAGTTTTGGAAATCAGAAAAAAAAATTCCAATTTTAAAAACTCCTCAATTAAAATATTCCGATTCTTCTAAGATAGAGCCTCTACAGGTAGCCTGTATTTTCTGTGTACAGTCACCAGTGAGCACGAAGGAAGCCTGGAAGCAAAAAATGGAAGTAGTCATTTAGTAAAAAGCATGGCATCATGTTATATCATTTAAGAATGTGGCCTATCATTGTGGGCTGCTGGGACTAAAATATGCATCATTTAAAAACTGTTAAAAGACTATTTTCAGAATTAAAGCATAATGTGAAATGAGAAAAAGGAATAATGCAGAAAATAAACTACATATTTAGGGCCTGAATCACATAGCAATTTCACACCCTTAAATGTGCAATATTTCACAATTAAAGTATCATTAATGATGTGTGTCTAGACACAATCACAAAAATGAAGGAGGTATTAGGGTGATTGCAATGGAAACCTTTGAAATGGATTTCTAAAAAATTTTCATTCAGGTAAAGGACACTTTTTCAAGATGGTCCAATGACAAATATTTTACTTACACATAGAATATTCTCCATACATGATCATTTTGAAACAGGAAAGCAAACACAGTAATTAACCACTACCAGCATATTCCTGCTAGCTTCCCTTTGTTTCACTCCTGTTCAGACACTCAAGGATTGTATTTATTGCTTTTGCTGGCTTCTTTCTTGAAATCTTTACCTTTACTCTTCTTCATTCTTTGCATAGCCAAAAAAAAAAATAAATAAATAAATAAATAAACAATAAGCAAGCAAAAAAACCCAACCAAAGAAACATTGTTTCCCTATCACATTTCATTTCAAAATAGTCCCTCTGCAGTGATCTCCATTTGGATTTTTGTACCCCCCAACAGAGATTGCAGTCAAGTGATCCAGCAAAGGAATCAGAGCACACCACCTGTTCCACACGTGGTCATTTTAAAACACACATTGCATCACAGGGAGGTAAGAGCCACATCACAGTGCATACAGTGTAAAAATTGCTCTCCAAAGCTCTGTACTCTGTTGCTGCTTTTATTACAGATTTTTTGCTCAACCTTCAGCAGAAGTTGCTTTGTGCTTCCTAGTTCCTAATACACAAAAAGGAGCTGGTATTTCTTCCCTCTGTGGCAGTGGTGCTTTACAGTTCTACCCCCCAGAAGCTGTGATGTCATTATTACAGAAGCGAGGCTCAAAAGAAGTACCTAAAATAGGCTGCATCTCCACAGCTTTGCAGGGAGATGTGAGCTCACTCTGCCCACACTTGGAGATGACTGGCCACAAACCCACTCTAATCCAGTTTAGCTCTGGTTAGCACTTACGTAAACTACACGACTTCCAGTTTAGAGCAACCTCACATCTGCCTACAAAAAACATGTCAACAAACACATACAGCGATGGTGTCTCTATAAACTACCTCTTGAAAAAAGGAGCCCCATAAACATCTCCACTTTTGCCAAACTCCACAGACAGTGGTTCCCTGTCTTTCCCAAAAGGGTGTCACTTGGTAGTGACACATTACCTGGCAGTGTTACATTATATAACTGGCTATAAAAGCTCCTTATCATCTCTTGTTTAACTAATAATTGTGTTATTGTGTAAATGTCTTTGACAGGCAATTCAGGAAGGCTTCTCTGCCATCTGCTTGCAGGTCTGTAAAGCATCCAGTCATTACAGGACATGAGAATAGAATACAAAATATATGCAGTATCACTTCATAATGTAGCATCAGCTGAAGCCTAAAAAGGATTTTCGTGAGAAAAAGTATTGCATATCTCCGACAACTAATTTAAATATATTATTTCATCTACCACTAAAATTACACTTGAAAACACCAAAAACATCTAATTCGCCATGCAGATGAAAGAAATACCTAAATATGCATTTATTGCTTCATATAAAAGGCAGGGTGCTAGCATTCCAGATCTGATAAGCTCTGCGTGCATACTTTTGAGCAGATAAGAACCACAAGACATACACCACGCTGCTTGGAAGGCCAAAGGGAGAGGAGGAACTCCAGTT